GCTCACATGCTCTCTCTGAAATTAAAATTAAATTATAAAAAGAAAAAAACATTGATCTATTCTCATGCTCTTTGGACATGAAGAATGAAGTTGATTTAAATGGATATCTATGAAAATGTTCTTCTTTACCAAAATAATTTAGCTTATCCTGTGTTTTTATAGATACTTTAATCAGTTTGGAAGTAAATGCAGGGAATTTAATACCTATTAGTGTGTGTGTTCTGAGTGTCTCACTGACCATCAGCAGAAGGTGGGCAGTAGGAGTAGAAGGAGGTGCCACTCAAACCAGTCAGGTTGTTCCTTGTGGACACCCTCTTTCAGTCACTGTTTACTGTTACCCGTGTGTAAGCCACTGTGATGGAGATAACAGCATTGATATCTCGCCTTCTCAGGGACTTGACAGTGAAGTTGAGACCTGGAATGTAACTGTGAATGCCGTTTCTTCAGGTACAGGGCGTGCTAGTTGAGTCAGAAAAGGCTTCCTGGGGGAGGAGGGCATCTGCTGGACACTGAGGGGTTGGTAGGCTTGGGCTAGGTCAGGGGTTCTCCATGTTGCCTAAACATTGGAAACACTGATGGCCTGGTTCCACTCCGAGAGAGTTTGATTTTAACTGGTCTGTGTGTGCTTCAGGCATCAGGAGTTTGGAAAGCATCCCAGGTGATTCTTGTGTTCAGCCAGCACTGGGACCTCCCCCCCCCCCCCCCCCGGGCTGGGTTGTCAGGAGGGAGAACACCCCAGAAAAGTGCACAGTTGAACAGAGATGCAGAGGCAAGAGTATGTGGAAGCCAGGAATGGCGGACTTGGCTGGAGGCTGGTTCATGCTAAGGAAGAGCAGAATAGGAGACTGGGTGGAAGCTAGTTTGGGGAGGGTTCTCTGTGCGAGGCCCAGTGATGAAGCCGTCAAGGCCTGAGGAGCTAGTGAGCTTCCTCAGTGTCCAGTGCTATTCTGGCCTGACTCTTCTAGTTGTTGGACTCACAGCTGTGAGTAAGGTCCAGCCCCTGCCCTGAGAAGCAGGCTTGTAGGTTCTTGGGGAGATGAGCAGACACACACACACACACACACGCACGCACGTACACACACTCACACTTGCCATGAGAAAAAAGTCTAGGTTGCTGTCATCTGGGCTAGATCACGGGGGGACTTGGGCTAGTGTGGAGGTGAAGGGAGGGAGGGAGAATGAGTATTCATGTCATCAAGTACTTTTGAGAGCTTGGCTTGTGCAGGGTTGACTTTGGGGGAGGCTCAAACTAAGGGGCTGTGAGGTGCCGAGAGGTTTGGACCGGAGTGGCATCCCTGGGAAGGGAAGGGAGAGGACGTGGCCCCTGAACGCAGAGGGCAGTGTGTGGTGGGCGGCAGAGAGGGTATGGAGGAGCTGCCTGGTTTTGCACCAGTGATGGGACTAGTGTGGTCACCGAGGAAAGGAAGGAGTTTAGCAACAGGCTGGTTTGTGGGAAACTGAAGCCTTTCAAGGAGCACATGCATTTAATTCTAGACACATGGCATGTCAGGGTGAGTGGGACATTTTTTGTGGAGGACAGGCCCATCAGGACCCTCCACGTATTAATAGAGTGCTCTTGGTGGGGCCCTGCGTGCCCTCCCTCTCCTCCTCCCGGGAGCTGAGCGGGGGCATCCGGTTGTATTTCCCAGCTTGCTGCTGGGTGTGGTCCAGCAGTTTTTCATGGTTTTGTGGTTTTGCCTCCAAACTATATGTGTAAAGGGACCTTGGGGCTGGAGCTCAGGCCACTGAAACGCTCTCCTGTGGCCCCTGGTGGGGTGCACCTGTGAGACTGTGGGTGTGGGCCAGCGTACTGGTCGCCAATGGACAGGAAGCACACCTCCCAAGCACACCTCGCCCTGAAAGCCCTTCGTTCTCTGACTACCACGTTCCCTTTCCGTGTCTCCCAGTCCCCGTCTCTGTACTTCTGGGGGCGTCACCACCCTTCTCTCTTTTCTTTTTTTTAATCTTTATTAATGTTTATTTATTATTGAGAGACAGAGCATGAGCAGGGGAAGGGCAGAGAGAGAGGGAGACACAGAATCCGAAGCAGGCTCCAAGCTGTCAGCACAGAGCCCGACGCGGGGCTCGAACCCACAAACCACGAGATCATGACTTGAACCAAAGTCGGACGTTTAACCAACTGAGCCACCCGTGTGCCCCGCCCTTCTGTCTTTTCTGAAATGGCTCCTAACTTCCACATGGAATGTAACCTGGAGAATCTCATCATGCACAGTCTAGACAGTCAAACACGTTATCTCTGTTGAGTGTCGCGATAGCTAAGCGAGTGGCCTCTGTCCAGGGAACGCCGGAGTTGTTGTCAGGGATGTCGTGGTGAGCCTGGTAGATCTGGCACAGTGGTGTGTGTTCTTGTGTAGGGTTCCTCATTAGGAGGGGTGATTTGGAATACTGCCCGGAAGACCTGGGAGCCAGCGGCCGTGCTTTGGCTGCGGGGATATCAATATCCGCCCTTGCTTGCTTATCGCCAGGCTTAACGACACTCGTGGAGTGAACGTTCCTATTTACTGGAGGATCAGTGGTCCTGCAGAGGTCCCTGAGTCCGATTTTAGAAAGCACGTCTCTCCTGTTGGCCCTTTACACCACACGTACACTCCCCAGGCACTGTCCTGCAGGAGGAGAACCGGATCTCCAACGGAGGGACTTTGTGTGACAGAATCACCTTTGAATTACATGATAGGTGTGTTTACTGTCAGTAGTTTGAGGGAAATCCTGCTACGTTCAGTAAACGAAGCACTCCTCTATCAGAGTGTTCTTAGTTTGTTTATTGAGAAATCTCCCATGAGAAATTGATCTGTAACGACTTCACAGATCTATCATGTGATTTCAGTAGTTAAGTAAATCTCAGAGATTGTCTTGTTTGAGTGTTTATACTTTTAATGTCAGATCCAAGAAACCCTGAAGGACCTACGGCCTCAAGAGGACTGAACCTGCTTAAACTTGCCTGCCTGTCTTTGTGTTTGCGGGGGTGCATCATTAGACTCTTAAAGCATTTCTAACACACCTCCTCACAGTCGCCGTACATGATGAATCGAACCCTCTGTGGCAGATGTAAGGAACTTGGTGTAAATACCTCGATGGCAGGCACACCACCTCATCTGGTCATTCTATTATCCTCGTATCTGTGGGGCCTGATGTCTGAGCAGCTTCTGGCCCTGCCTTGGCTTTGATGGAGAGAGTCATTTGTTGGAGTGGCAGTAGTAATAGGAGAGAGTGAGTGCTCCTGTTTTCTAAGTGGGCAAAACCGGGGAGCGTCATGCATTCGGGCAAGAGCTTTTCATGAGAAAGCAGCATTGTCTGGCTGCTAAAGGCAAGATTTAATTGTTTCAGCAAATCAATTAGTCTTTGGGGACTTTAATCAGTCAAATCTGATGCATGGATGAGGCATTAGAAAGCTCGAGCCTGTAAGACCATTAGTCCTTAGCATCTCTCTGTCTTGAGTGTATATGTGTAAACAAACACTGGGACTTCTACAAATTCCTGCTAGCCATCCCTTTGCTGGGAGAATGCAGGGTAGCAGACTCGTTACGATAGCGTAAAGGAGATCTCGACACCCAGTGTCGTAGTGTGGCGTTCTCATTGAACCGTCACCATTGTGCTGTGAGAACACGAACCGTGTTGACAGCCTTCTGTCGTCTGCTTGACATTTTCTCCTTCCTGTTGGAGTCACTCGTCTAAACAACGTGGCAGCAGTGGTTCTACACCGACCAGATCCTCTTCCTCTGTTGTTTTAAGGCTCTCCCCATTTCCCCCACCACAGCCCTGCTCTCCAGTCCCCATTTGGACCCAGGTGTGCCCTTCTTTTCCAGATATACATCAGGGGACGTAAGGGTGTGGGACACCCGCACCTGGGACTACACAGCCCCTTTCCTGGACTCAGAGTATGAGGAGGACGAGCCTGGAATGCAGCCATATGTCTCCTTTGTGAGGATAAACAGCTCGCTGGCGGTAGCGGCTTATGAGGATGGTAAGTAACCGCAACCCTCCTCCCTATTAAGGAAAAAAAAAAAGCTTTACAAAAATTAAGCAGCTGTGGCCGGCTCCCCCCTGTAATCCCTGCATACATACACGTGGGCACACACACATGTGCACACACATACACCCACTCTTTGGCTTTATGTGAAGAAGTTGGCCAATAACCGTCCATGCATTAGTAGGCAGTGGAGCACAGCACCCAGTAAGACTGGTGTTTAATTCCTACTGGAGCTGGTAGACTGGGTTTCTGTGCCAGACACGAGGCTGGCCAAGCCATCTTAAGCAAATAGCTTGTTTGGTATAAAATATTAAATATACTTGGCCTACTTTTCCTTCAGTCTCTGCTCAGTCCAAAGGGAACAGGGAAAGGGAGGGATAGACAGATAATCTATTGACAAATATGGAAATAGAAAAATAAAAGTCAGTGCCTACCTTTTCCTGGCACTTCCATACCATACAAGATAATTTACGGTGATCTGTGGTCTCTCTGGGATTGATAGAATCCTTTTGTGTACAAACAACTGTGGATCTACAGAACTAGCTAGGAAAAGTCTAAAATTATATGCACCTGAGTCATGAAACACTGGTCAGTTTTGTAGCTAACAGGAATAATGATTTCGAGGGCCATGGCATCCGCGTTCCTGCCTTCCATTATGTGTGAATTTGGAATCTCTAAGCTCTGTTTCCCCACTTGCCTGAAAGGTGAACCACAAAATATTTTGGAATGTTAGTGTTCATGTTGTGGCACTATGGCAAATCTTCAGAGTCAGTGGTTGGCTCAGGGACAAAACTATAGTAAAGTAGCTCATGGGCAATTTTAGATTCGTATGTCGTTTAAAAAATAGGGCTGAAGTCTTGAAAATATTTTCGATGTATTACTTTAACAACATGAACTCTGTTCTTTCAGTTTGACATTAGTAGACACCATTGGTAGATTTTTTTCAGCCTCAAGAAATTCAGCTAAGCTGTTTCTGTAGTATGTAGTATGTCCTCTATGTTTACTGAGATCCTGGATAGATAACAGAAGATGAGCTTGAGTGTGTTTGGTACTTTCCAAATTACCAATGAAGTTTTTTGTGTGTGTGGTTTAATTTTTTAAATTTTATTTATTTATTTTTTTTTTTATTTTTTTTTTTCTTCAACGTTTATTTATTTTTGGGACAGAGAGAGACAGAGCATGAACGGGGGAGGGGCAGAGAGAGAGAGAGAGGGAGACACAGAATCGGAAACAGGCTCCAGGCTCTGAGCCACCAGCCCAGAGCCCGATGCGGGGCTCGAACTCCCGGACCGCGAGATCGTGACCTGGGTGAAGTCGGACGCTTAACCGACTGCGCCACCCAGGCGCCCCTATTTATTTATTTTTAAATTTACATCCAAATTAGCTAGTATATAGTGCAACAATGATTTCAGGAGTAGATTCCTTAATGCCCCTTACCCATTTAACCCATCCTCCCTCCCACAACCCCTCCAGCAACCCTCAGTTTGTTCTCCATATTTATGAGTCTCTTCTGTTTTGTCCCCCTCCCTGTTTTTATATTATTTTTGTTTCCCTTCCCTTGTGTTCATCTGTTCTGTGTCTTAAAGTGCTCCTATGAGTGAAGTCATATGATATTTGTCTTTCTCTGACTGACTAATTTCACTTAGCATAATACCCTCCAGTTCCATCCACGTAGTTGCAAATGGCAAGATTTCATTCTTTTTGATTGCCGAGTAATACTCCTTTGTATATATGTACCACATCTTCTTTATCCATTCATCCATCAGTGGACATTTGGGCTCTTTCCATACGTTGGCTATTGTTGAAAGTGCTGCTCTAAACATGGGGGTGCATGTGTCCCTTCGAAACAGCACACCTGTATCCCGTGGATAAATGCCTAGTAGTGCACTTGCTGGGTTGTAGGGCAGTTCTGTTTTTAGTTTTCTGAGGAACCTCCATACTGTTTACCAGAGTGGCTGCACCAGCTTGCATTCCTAGAGGGCTTTTTAAATACAAGTATGCAAAGGTTGTAGTATAGTTAGAATCCTACAGTTTTAGAATCCTCTCCTAGCCACCACCCCCCCGCCACGTGCATACATGTACACCCACATTTTTCTTCAGACAGGGAAATGGGGGTCCAGAGAGGCCAATTGAGTGATTTGCTTGAGTGTATCTAGAAGTGTGAATATGTGTCCCAGGCCATGCCAGGGTTGTAGTGCACTATTTATGTAATCTGAAACACAGATGCCTGGAGGAATATGGGCACCTGATTGATTTCCACCCCCACGTTTCCTATCTTGTGAGCTTGAACATACAGCTTGAGGAGATAGGCACGCGGGCTCCTGGTTTTGCGTCACTGGTGACAATTGTGTTTGTCCCCCTCTTCCCTGTTGCCGCACAGAAACATTGGGGAGCCACAAAGGTAGGACAGAGAGACTACTTCCTTTGGCAAATAATGGCCAAAATGTATTTTTAAAACTTGATTTTAAAAAATACAGTTAAAATTCAAACAGAGCAAAAGTATAAAATGAAAAGAAAGTGTATCCAAAGAGAAGCTGACGTGTTCCATCCTGCCCCCCGTCTCTGTTCCTTTCACGTTTTACTCAGAGGTCCTATGCGATGTGCTTTTCTGCACCTTGCTTTTATTTTATTTTATTTTATTTTATTTTATTTTATTTTATTTTATTTTTTTAATAACATAATGACACATCTTGGTATGCTTCCACATTGGCACTTATAGGTAAACTTTTTCATCCTGTGTACTATGGCATGAAGTGGCTGTATTTATAATTTATTTATTAGAGCCCTTAATGACACACACTTGGATTGTTTATTTTTGTTATTAAAAACAGCGCTGCAAGCAATATCCTCTAACAAATATCACGATGGACTCGTGCGAGTCCAGCTATGGGGTAAATTACTAGTCATTACCGGGTTGGAGGCTACAGATGCTTTATGTTTTGATAAATACTACCAAATTGCCCTCCAAAAAGGTTCAACCAGTTAATGGTCGCACCAAATAGATGAGAGTGACGGCTTCCTCATGCTGGTCTGATGGGTGGAAATGGCATTTCCCCGTTGTCTTTGTCTGCCTTCATGTGAATGCAGTGAATTTCATTGTCTTCCTTTTTCCCTATTTTTCTGCAAATGGCTTGTTCCTCCTGTCTGCTCCCATTTTTCTCTGGGTTCTCTTTTCTGGTTGGAAAGAAAGGGATAAGGATGTAGTCCTTGCCATGCCTACTTCAAGTATATTTTTTCAGCTCGTCAGTTTTTCTTCGGTGGACCTTATTTATGGTTTATTTTTCAAGATGGTAGTTGTACATGTGTATAATTCTAATTTTTTGAGAGAGAACGTGTGTGCAAGCGGGGGGGAGGGGCAGAGGTGGGGAGATAGAGAATCCCGAGTAGGCTCCATGCCCAGCACAGTACCTGACGCGGGACTCGATCTCTCAAACTGTGGAATCGTGACCTGAGTCGAAATCAAGAGCCGGACTCTTTAACCGACTGAGCCACCCAGGCACCCCCTAATTTAATTTTTTAATCCATAAATGAAGTGGGTTTCATTTTGTAATTTAACGTCTTTGAATAAGTACTACATTTTGGGGGACATAAGATGAAACAACTATAAACAGTTACACGTTGAGAAGTCTTGCTTTTACCTATTTTGTCTACTCCGTTCTAAAGCAACCATATATTTTAGGATTTTGTCTGTCCTTCCAGTATTTCAGCATTGTAAATATAAGCAAATATGAATATTCCTATTCTCCCCCCCCTTTTTTTTTTTAATTTTTTTAAATGTTTATTTTTGAGAGAGAGAGTGAGAGTAGGGGAGGGGCAAACAGAGGGAGACACAGAATCCGAAACAGGCTCCGGGCTCTGAACTGTCAGCACAGAGCCCAACGTAGGGCTTGAACTCAGGAACCGCCAGATCATGACCTGAGCCGAAGTCGGATGCTCAACCTACTGAGCCCTTCAAGCGGCCCATTCTCCCCCTTTTTCTTAAATGAAAGCTCACATATTACTTTGTCTTATTCCACACCTTGGCTTTTTTTCACTTAATGACCTGTCTTGAAAGCTTGTCCATGTCTGTATATAGAAAAACAGCTTCCTCTTTTTTTCATACCTGCACAGTATTCGATACGTACAAGGACCTTGGTTCACTGACACTGTCCGTTATTGAGGAACTGTTGTGTTGTTGCTGACCTTCTGCCATTACAGCATTTTAATGAAAGACCCTGCCTATAAGACCGTTCATGTACATGCAGGAAGGGTAGTTTCCTATAAAATTGACGAATCAAAGGGGAAATGCAAATGGGGTTTATACAGTGTTGCTCTGTCACTAGCAAGGTATGTAGGTATGCCTGTTTCCTCACAGTTTTTTTTTTTTTTTTTTAATGTTTATTTATTTTGGAGACAGAGTGAGAGCGGGGAAGGGGCAGAGAAAGAGGGAGACACAGAATCTGAAACGGGCTCCAGGCCCTGAGCTATTTGTTAGCACAGAGCCTGATGGGCTCGAACCCATGAACCACGAGATCATGACCTGAGCCGAAGTCGGACGCTCAATGACTGAGCCACCGAGGCGCCCCTATTTCCTCACAGTTTTGCCAGCAAGATGTGTTTCAGACATCTAGGTATTTGTTGGTTTGATAGATCAGAAATGGTATCCAAGGGCACCTGGCTGGCTCAGTCGGTGGAGCGTGTGTGTGACTTTTGATCTCGAGATTGTGAGTTCCAGCCCCATGTTGGGTGTAGAGATAACTGAAAAATAAAATCTAAAAAAAAAAAAAAAAAAAAAAAAATGGTACCCAAATGTAGTTTCAGTTTACATCTCTTAGCCTAAGAATTTTTTTCATCTTTGTACCTGTTACTTGTACCTCTTTCTAATAAGCTGGGGCTTATTTTTCATGCTTGAATTTTGGCCAATATAGAGTTCATCCTGGGACCGTATAAAATATGAATCTGAGAATTTTTTTTCTGGAATCTCTTAGTAGAAAGCCCATCCCTACCTACTCACT